CGGCCACCGCAGCCTCGACCTGCTGGGCTCCGGCGATCCTTCCGCCTCAGCCTTCCGAGTAGCTGGAATTACAGGCATGTGCTACCACGCCCAGCTGATTTTTTGATTTATTGTAGAGATGAGGTCTCGCTGCCCAGGCGGGTCTCGAACCCGCGGGCTCAGGCAATCCACTCACCCCAGCCTCCCAAAAGCTCGGGATTACAGGCTGAGCCACCGAGCCCGGCTCTGCAAGGCTTCTTACTGCCTTACTCATGACACCCAATCAATGGACAGAGTCCCAGACAGCCTGCTTGCCTGGAAGGGGCCCCTGACTCCCTTCCCAAAGCTCTCACTTGTGCCAGGCTTCCCAGGACCATTCCTGACATGGCAATCCTGTCAGACTACAGTGTCCTTTACGGGGATCGATTTCCATGAACTAAAAAAGTCTTTGTATGGAGGCTTAGGAGACCCTGATGCTCTCAGAACAGAGATCTAGAGATCTTATGCAGAGGTCCTGGGTTATTGTTTCTAAAAATGATGCCCTAAAACTACCAGGGTGAGAATCACCAATATCAGAATCAGATACTTGTTAAAACTTCAGATTCCCAGATCTGTTAAATAGTACTCCTGGCACTGAGCTCTGGAAGCCCTATTTTTTTTTTTTTTTGAGTTGGAGTCTCACTCTGTCACCCAGGCTGGAGTGCAGTGACCGCTCCCGGCCACCGCCGCCTCGACTTGCTGTGCTCCGGGGATCCTTCCGCCTCAGCCTTCCAAGTAGCTGGAACTACAGGCACGCGCTACCATGTCCGGCTAATTTTTTGGTTTTTTTATTGTAGAGATGAGGTCTCACCAAGTTGCCCAGGCGGGTCTCAAACCCGCAGGCTCAGGCAATCCACTCACCTCAGCCTCCCAAGGCGTGGGATTACAGGCTGAGCCACTGAGCCCGGCTTGAAGCCCTATTTTTTACAGTACAAACCATGGTTCTCTCACACTCTGGATCATTCCAAAGGCAGCTTAGTTTCCTGATAAAATAGAGGGCAAGACAACAGCGAGAAGGGCTGGAGAGGAGACAAAATTATGAAGATGTAGGAAGAGTGGGAAGTGTGATAGAAAGAGGCTGACTGTTTCAGACACATAGTAAAGAGACTTTGTCTGAAGGCAGACTTAAATCATGACAGCCTTGTTTTCTGATTTTTTTTTACTTTCTCCTTTGTGTGTCCCCTAGCCTTTGTTTTCTGGCATGATTTGCACCCCAACACATCCAGCATTATAACGTAACCCTCCACAAATCATACAATCAACAACACAGAATGAGGCAAAAAATAAAATGTCCAGGATCCAAGGGTCACAGCAAACTTTTGTGAGCTAATGATCTATGTGTCACAAAAGTTTTGCTAAGAGCCAAGTTATTTCACAAATATGAGATATATTTTCTGGACTCCACGCCACACCTCACCATCAAACCTGTGCCTGTCCAGATTGCTCATTTCATGCTTTGCATGACTTTGTGAGTTCTTTTTCAGTGAGGAGAAACCAACTCACCTTCTTCCTTTTTCTTATGAAATATATATACTACCTAGTGACTGACATGAAGAAAGCAGATTGTATAGAAAATAATACCTATAATTTCTGACTGCTAACTTTTGCTCAAAATCGAATTTAGGGAGTTTATGCATAGCTGAGGAAAAAGTGTTAGGTACTATTTTTTTTCTTTTTCAAAGAATGATTGATGGATGGAATTCAAAGTTTATTCTTGAGTGTAGATCTATTCAAAATGGACCTTTGACAGGCCATTCTCTCAGACCCTCTTCATACTCATAGTTAATCTCCTTGTCTCTTTTATACCAACAAATCTACATATTCCCTGTCTTTCCTAATCCCACTTCTCCAATTATCATTGAACATTTTGACACGAAAGTATTTCTCATTTTCTTGCTCATTAGGGCAAATTAATCTGAACTCAGAATATTTGGCCATTACAGGTCCCTATGTAATGAACTTTAAAAATCCATGCAATGGACCCTAATGACTGGATTTATTTTTTTGATTCTAGTTTTTAAATTACATTGGAAATACTGCAGAATCAACTTAAAATGCATAGGGTTTTCAGGCTAGAATTCAATGGTCAGGTGTTGGTGTCTGGGCCTTCTGATCACCATCCTCACCTTCATACTTTTACTCATTTCTTTGGTGGCTCCCAAAGTCGCTGTTGTATCAGAATCACTTGAGGAGTTTGTTAAAAATACAGATTTTCTCCGGGCTCGGTGGCTCAGCCTGTAATCCTACGCATTGGGAGGCTGAGGTGAGTGGATTGCCTGAGCCCGCGGGTTCGAGACCCGCCTGGGCAACTTGGCGAGACCTCATCTCTACAATAAATCAAAAAATTAGCTGGGCATGGTAGCGCGCGCCTGTACTTCCAGCTACCTGGAAGGCTGAGGCGGAAGGATCTTCGGAGCCCAGCAGGTCGAGGTTGTGATGGCCGGGAGCAGCCACTGCACTCCAGTCTGGGCGACAGAATGAGACTCCAACTCAAAAAAAAAATACAGATTTTCTTACTCAACCTAGACATAAAGAGTTTGAGTTTCTGGAGTTGGGGCCTAGGAATCTGATTTCCTTTCCTCCCTCCTTCCCTTTCTTCTTTTCTTCCTTCCTTCCTTACAGCTCCCTCAAGTGATTACGCAGACACCAAGGACCCATTTACTGAAGACTCTTGGGGAGTACGTCTCTGGTCCAGGAGTTCTTAAAACTTGTGTATGTATCAGAAACACCTGGAGGGCTTGTTAAAACACAGTGAATTCTCAGAGCTTCTGATTCAATAGGTCTGAAATGGAGTCCGAGAATTGGCATTCCTAACAAGTTTCCAGGTGATGCTGATTTGCTGATCTGGAGACCACATTTTGATAACCAAGCCTCTAATCCAGGTCACCTGTGCACGTGTTTATTATTCATTCATATTTCTATTATGTGGCCAAGGACTGGGCTTCAGAAGAAGGATGCCAGGTCAGAGATAACACATCTGGTTGAGCATTGTAACCACCTAAGAGTTTTTTTTTTTTAATTAATTTTCAATTATTGGGGTGAGACTTGGGCTTCATCTCAGATCTAGCAAATCAATGTTTCCAGAATGCCCTGGAAATGTTTCATTTTGCAGTCAGCCCAAAAATTCTGATTTATCACAAGGATTTGAAACCATTTCCTTAGATGAGTCAACTTGTGAATTGATTAATAACATATGAATCATTATTTGATTTTATCTGAAATTCAAGTTTAATGAAGTATTCCATATTTTTATTTGTAAATCTTTAAATTATTTCTTGCTTACCTAAAATTCAAATTTAATGAGGCATTATAATTTTCATTGTAATTTATAATTTTCACTATAATGTCCTATTCACTTGGCTGTCTTTGCCAGTTTTGCTTTCTTTGCGTATTCCTTCCTTTGGTCAACATACTCCTATTCTAAATGCTTAAGGGAGTAGAGGTGAGAAGTAAAATCTGTATGAATAGATGTTTCCTCAAGAAATAAAACACACACACATACAAAAGAAAATTCATTAACCTATATGGCAGAAATAAAAGCAGAAAAAAAATGTACTGTCTGCTAATGGTTTTTTACCAGACAATTTGTCAACTACACAGTCAAAAAAAAAAAAACAAAAAACCTGGGGAATAAAAAGACACCAAAGATGCTATTAAAATGTTCCAAGTGAAGCCATATATAATTAATTTCAAACAAGCATAAGCTATGAAAACGCAAATAATTCAAGGTGCTGAGTGAAAGGTAGGATAAATCTATATCAGGCTTCAAAACCAATGCTTCCAGGTGAGTCTACATTTGAACCAGAGGCAGAGAGATAATGATGTCTCCCCATCCCTATTTTATGGGACACTAAAGAGTCTTAAGATGAAACGTTCCCAGGATGTCAAGGCCAAGAAAAAACATAAATACAGCTCAGTCCCTGACATTAGTGTATAACTACTAAGAGACAGAAGCAAATACATGGAACAATCAAAACAGAGAAGAAAAATTTACTGATACAGAAGACAAAGAAAATAAGAGAAGTAATCTGGCAAACTGTTGCCCAGGTTGAAAAGCCACCATTAACACCATCTTGCAAAAAAAGTAGCTTTCTCCTTAAGCAGTCTTGACATCTTATAGGTTAGAGGTCAGCAAAGTTTTCTTGTTAAGGGCAAGATAGTAAAGCTTTTAGATTTTGCGCACCATACAGTCTCTGTAGCATCTCTACAACCCTGCCATTATAGCATGAAAGCAGACACAGACAATATATAAACAAAATGAACATGGTTGTATTTTAATGAAAATTTATTTACAAATATAGGTCCTGGGACAGATTTGGCCTGTGGACCACAGTTTGCCAACCTATGTCATAGGTGAGACCCTGTGGTAAGGATATCATCATTAGTAGATTCTACAGGGCACCAGCATTCTTATAATGAATGTTTAATTAGGGGGAAAAGCACATTCCATTAACTCACCACTATAAATACAAGGGCAGAGTGGTGAAAGGTCACCCCAAAATGTGAAGGCAGGAAATCAGGATGCTAGAAACAGGAAGAAGCAGCTCATTTGAAATTTTGAGATCACATAAAATTGAAAGAGAAAGAGAGAACGGGATCAAATATTGTAGCATGTGTTTAGAAAGATTTTCTTGGTGGATCTAACATGGCAGAGAAGATAACTGTGGAGGAAAAGGGACCCCCTTGTCATTTTCTTGGACAAAGATTCTTTTGAGGGTGCATCATATGATGATGTGTCATCTTCCTCATTCAGAGAGGTTTTCAGACCTTCTCAATTCACTAAGTTTGCATTTAGCATCCCAAAATGTGTCCTTCCCCCCCAAAAAAACAATTAAGTTGCTTTGGCATATAATTTTGTACTTTAAACTAACCTGTATTAGCAATGGTGCTTGGACACAAAACTTTAGTGACCTCCTTGATGATCCTGGTAAACATGTTTCACCAGAGGCCTCTGCATCAATCAAGACACACACAAGCATGCATTTACAATGTATAATTTAAAAGCTTTATTTTCCCCTCACAACTAGCAAATAGATTTCATATTAATTCAACTGGAAGTTTTCTTTATACAGTAGGCATTCTTATTGACTTTGATGAGGAAAACTGCTTTCTCATGGGGGAAGAGTTAGACTTCATAGAACTGCTCTGAGCTAATCACAGAAATGTTTGCCCTGGCAGCCTCTGAGGGAATCCTCTTAGCTAGTCAAGTGGAGACTAGTCACCAGAATCCTCCCTGAAAATGTAGCTCCCTTTGACCAGGAAGCCTGGAAGTCAGATCATCTTCTCAGCTAAATTCCAATTCTCAGTCCTGTGGCCTCATGCAGGAGCATTTTAATCAAAGCAAACCACTGGCTTCTGCCTGGGGGGTCCAACACACACTTCGCCAAGTGCAAGATTGGTCTCTTCAAAGTTCACTGCTCACACCGTTTTGGGCTTGTGCTTCAGAGGGCTGGTCTCTGCCTCTCCCAGGAACAGTGGCATCATAGCAAGAGAAGCACAAAGACCCAGGCAAGCACTGGTAGGTAGGGTATGGAGATACTGCTGCCAGATGTTCTCTGAGCGTGCATTACGGCAAAGACTGCATTAGTATGATTGGTGGGTAACTCTACGTTGCAGATCATTCCTTCACAGCAAGACCTACACTCCTGTTACAAAAGGAAGAGGAGAGAGCAAGGAGAATGAGTAATGAGAGGAGGGAATGAGTGAAACAAAGAAAAACAAAGGCTTCTTCGGCTCTGAGTCTATGCATCACACAGGTCCCTGAGTATCCTTGCCCTCACCCATGGATTGGGAGGAAAAACCTATCTTGAGAGTCTTTTCTTCCTAACTGTGATTTATCTGCATCAAACTCAAGCATTAATTAACGAGCCAAAGAAGAGGAAGGGAACCTGAGACTGCTTGATTGAGTCAACAAATCTTCTAAAGGTTTGCTAGGGAAAACACTGAGACAAAAATGAAAGCTAGGGACCCTTTGGATTAGTCATTGATTTTCCTTCTCAGTACTACTTGTTAGGGGATAATAATGACTCTCTATTGTCTAGGCTAACACCTGATTCCTATCATTACGGCAGCTATGGTTTGCTAATTAATTAAAGCTGCTGAGTGGTGAAAAAGGCTTGGTCCCTAACAGGTATGGTCAGAGGATGTTTGGGGGTAATATCAATTTTTGCCTGGTACGATGCCTTAATCTGATAAACCCAGCCATTCATGGAAGCTTCCAGGATGTCTAGGTACGTTAAAGGCATTGACTCTAAGCATCTGTGTCACCTGGCTACACATCAGAATCACCTTGAGGAACTTTTTAAGACGATCCTAATGTTCAGAACTCCTACCCTGAAGTTCTGTTTCAATTGGCCTGGGATGCCCTCTTCCAAGCGTAGCTTGTAAAAACTGCCCAGGTGATTCGCGGGTAGCCAGAGCCAAAAGCCACTGATGGCAGAATCATTTTCTGTACTTTAGGCTAAATCAGATTCTAAAATCTCATGAAATAAATATCCTCTCAAGTAATCTTTTCTCAAACATTTCAGAACTTCAGGCACATAAAAAAGTAAAATACTCATTTAGAATGATAGAAAGAGAAAGTTAAAGAGATCAATTGTGTAAAATGTATCTATAGTTCATTGCATTAAGCTGAGGCTAATCATTCAGATTCTCACTTCCTCATCTAACCAAGGTAGTGGTTAAGACAAGGTTTCCTTCATCAACCTTTTCCTCTTTCCACCTTCCAGTTTTCCTGTACAGTGTTCTTGGTAATTCTTGGCCAGGAATAAAACAGTGAGCTGGGCTCTGTAGTGTCTGTCATTCTCTCATGTGAATGGTTGACTCTTGGGCTACCAGAACTGGCTTCAGACCACTCACTCAGAGTCTGAGGTCTAGGGTGTAGCTCTGGAGTCCTGGAATTGCTGCTCATTTTTAGTAACATGATTTCTTATTGAAGAACAGAAGTCTTCAACTTCTCTTTGGTCTCCATATTATCAATGTAATGGAGTCTTTCTTCAAAAAAATTTATAAATATCTTTGACTGGATGCAGTGGCTCACTCCTATAATCCCAGCATTTTGGGAGGCCGAGGTAGGAGGATTGCTTGAGCCTAGGAGTTCAAGACCAACCCAGGCAACAAAGTGAGGCCTCGTCTCTAAAAAAAAAATAAAAAAATTAGCCAGGTATGGTGGCACATGCCTGTAGTCTCATCTACTCAGCAGCTGAGGCAGGAGAATCACCTGAGTCTAGGAGGTTAGGGCTGCGGCAAGCAGAGACCATGCCACTGCATTCCAGCCTGGGTAACAGAGTGACATCCTGACTCAATAAAACAAACAAATAAATAAATAAAATATAAATATGTTCAACATATTACTTATCCTGCTGCCTCTCCCATGATATATCACTTACCATTACTCACATGAAATTTTAGACAGTACCTTACACACACAGACACACACAAAGACACACAGAGACATACACAGAGACATGATTCTTACTGTATGTTCTGAATCTCGGCTGTGGTGGCACCCGACAAAATGACATTCATTCCTGGAGGCACACTTTTTAGTGATGGATGTACTTCTTCCATGGCTGGTGAAGTGATGAACTGTCAGACAGTACTGTGTATCTAGGCAAGAGAAAACAAGGAGCAAAAAACAAGGCAATGTCACTTTCCACATTGCAAAAGAGACCTCTCAGTCACTTCAGAACTGACTACAATTCAGGATGATCCTTAGGTCTCTAAGCATGAAATTTAATAGCAGTGAACTCTAGAGTTTCAAGGTGGTGTCTTTGAAACACGTGTGCTTTGAAAATGAAAACAAACAGGCACCCATCCTTTGGTGTCAGCTAAAGCTGAGAAAAACTTGTGCAAGCTTTCATCAGTACCCTGGATCTACTCATCTGATATGAAAGTGTTTGTGTCTCTGGCTCTCTCTTTTTCTCCGCCTTCAGCACAGGTTCTAGAACTCTAAAATAAAATGAAAATTGTGAATTTAAAATGCAATGGGTCAGAATACTTGTTGCATTATTCAACATTTGTCTCTCCTTTATTAATAGGCCATGTGGCGAGCTGAAATGAAAAGTAACTCAAATTACACATCAAGATCACCTTCCTTACTCATCTAGTTCTTGTTCTAATCCTACCAACATATTTGACTTTTCCTCATCAATGCCTTTCCATTTTTTTCTCCTCCTCTTTAATTAACTCATACTTTCTCTGTTTCTCACCCACCTCCTTCTTGGTATAGTTATAGTAGCTTGTTTCTATATGCAGTTATCCTTATGGTTTTAACCACTCACATTTCATTACTTAGAATCCTTTCAAGAGGTTTCATTCAATATCCTAGGACACTCTGCTTTAGTTCTTTGTTTCTTCTACAAGAGAGGAATTCCCAAAATCCCAGAATTTAATTATTAAAAATTATGTCTTGCATCCCTTATCAACAAGGGTGCCTGAACGATGCATATTTGTAAACCTAACCCTTAACTGTACCCCACAATTTTAAAATAAAAAATTTAAAATAAAAAATTGTGTCTTGCATGTTTAAACTTCAATTATCACCAAAGTACTCTCTGATTGATGCCATACACCTATTGAAGCACTTTTTCCACTGTTCAAAACAGTTTTTGAACTCGTCAGTTTCATTGCCTTTTAGTGCTTCTGCCATTTTTTGTTTCCTCTCTTTTATATCAGCAAAATGTTTCCCTTTGACTTTTTCATCCAGGGAAACTAACCAAAAAAAGTTACATAGAGCAAGATTGGGTGAATAGGGAAAGTAGGGCATGGAGGTCATGCTCTTTTCGGTCAAAACCTGCTGAACATTCAGTGTGGTGTGGGCAGGTATGCTTGTAGATCACCCATCGTGAAATGGGCAAACGCATTGAAAGAATTAAAAAAAAAAATTCACCGAGCTGAACACAGCCCTGTGTTCACACAACACTGATGCCAATGGGCCCCGAGAACACTTACCTAGTGGGGGAAGACTTACTGTAAGGGGCCCACCCTCCAAAAAATAATTCTGTTTTTTGTTTGGGGTCCCCCATCATCTAGTCACCTCAGTTTTATAGAAACGCTTCCTAGTTTATTGATCAGGGACTACAGCATCTATGTCATAGAACAGAAAAAAATTGAACTAAAGATGAGAAGACTGGGCTTATGGAATTACCTCCGTCATGAGAGAGCAAGTCATGTTAGATTTTTGAGCTTGTTTTCTTTTTAGTAAGATGATGATAATAAGTGCCCTGACATTCTGATACAGCTGTTATAAGCTTTAAATGATATTACAACCTTCAAACAATAGCAAGCACATATTGAGTGTGAACCACCAGCTGGGTGTTCTTTAACTTGTATTCACTAATTCAATCTTCACCACAAGCCTTAAGGTAAGTCATATTAACATCCTTGTTTTACAGATCAACCGAGGCACACTTTCTGATCCGTGGTCACATAGAAAGAAAATGGGGAAAAGTGGGATTCTAACCCAGGTAGTTTTCTTGGGTCTGTGCTCTTAAGCAGAATGTTGTTCTACCCCCGTCAGTATACTTAATACTAACCTAGAGGGGTACTATAGAGTGCTCTACGAGAATAGCCAACTTCCAGATTCAGATGAGCCAGGCTCGGTGGCTCAGCCTGTAATCCCGGTCTTTGGGAGGCTGGGGTGAGTGGATTGCCTGAGTTCGCAAGTTCGAGACCCGCCTGGGCAACTTGGCAAGACCTCATCTCTACAATAAATAAAAAATGAGCCGGGCGTGCTAGTGCGCGCCTGTAGTTACAGCTACTTGGAAGGCTGAGGTGGAAGGATCGCTGGAGCCCAGCAGGTCGAGGCTGCGGTGGACGGGAGCGGCCACTGCACTCCAGCCTGGGTGACAGAGTGAGACTACAACTCAAAAAACAAACAAACAAACAAAAAGCCGGGCTTGGTGGCTCAGCCTGTAATCCCATGCCTTTGGGAGGCTGAGGTGAGTGGATAGCCTGAATCCGCGGGTTCGAGACCCGCCTGGGCAACTTGGCGAGACCTCATCTCTACAATAAATTTTTCTTTAAAAATCAGCCGGTCATGGTAGTGTGTGCCTGTAATTCCAGCTACTCGGAAGGCTGAGGCAGAAGGATTGCCGGATCCCAGCAGGTCAAGTCTGCGGTGGCCGGGAGGGGCCACTGCACTCCAGTCTGGGTGACAGAGTGAGACTCCAACTCAAAAAAAAAAAAAAAAAGAAAGAAAAGGGAGCCACTAAATGTTTTGGAGACGTTATTTCAATTTCTACTCCAAACAAAGAATTGAAAACTAGTAGCTGCATGTGTTCATATAGAATGTCACACACACTAAAGTAGTCCTAAAAAAAACCAGCATAAAAGCCAGGGTAAATAAAGCAAGAAATGTCATTCTTGTCATATCTTGTTACAGAGAACTTCTTTTAACAACACCGACAGACCACAGGAGTGAGGTTGTAAAGTGAAAAGGAAACCTGAGATGACAAAGAACAATAGCTGCAGGCTTGTTTGCTCCCAGAAATGGTTGACTATCACTCTCTGAAATAATGACAAAGTGAAAAGAAATTATACCCTCAGTTAGAATTCCAGATGGTTAGTATCTTCGCCACTCAACTGGCCTATGTCAAGAATGTCCTGTCATGTCATGCTGGAATGCAAGGCCATTCCTTATTGATCTCCTTAGAAGTCAGTTTCTCAGGGTGTATGCAGCAGAACTGCTCTCCTCCTTCCTTTCTGATTCTCGTGTGTGTGTGTGTGTGTGTGTGTGTGTGTGTGTGTGTGTGTGTGTGTGTGTGTGTGTGTTAAAAAG